CTTCATACACTAAAAGCATTGTTAGGGAGAAATATCATTGTCATAATGAGAGGCTAGGGGCAGAGGACTGATTAGAAAGAAGTGTTTGCGCCTTTTGGTTATTGTAACGCGGACAGAGTGCCTGGGTGCTGATTTATCTCGTTTTTTATCGTGTTGAACATGTAGGTTTGTATAAAAAAAGTGTCCCCATATCAGCATGTTAATCTGCAAATGTCGTCGAATGACGATAGTCTTGCGTGTGGAAAGAGTGAACCAAAAATTTAGTTGGTATTCTGCGCAAAAAATGGTGAATGGTATTCTGGAGGCTCTGCGTTACAGTGGAGGCGCACGAGCGCATCAAGTGTGGCAGCTTAGGCTAGTTGATATGACATGGTGATAGTTATAGCGCGAGAAAAGAACGACGACACAGAGACCTGAAAAACACGAAGGACACGAGCGCGACCGCATCAAGTCATGTCACACGTGATACATGAGCGCCATCTCACAGTTTTCTTGTAAAACGAAGTGCGTGGCTTGAGACGGGTGTGCGCGCCCGTCTCGGAGGTGATAAGGTGTAGAACGCAAGCCGACGGGTAGGTGCAACCACCGTCCCGTCTAAGCAAGCGTTCGAAACACTCGCCTTTTTTTGCAAGTATTGCATAGTCAGCGCAACGTGATAAGCAATATGGCCCCTAAAATTACTTATGTATGCCCTTTTCTAGTAAAAGACGCACATGCAGAATATATACGTATTGTTATGGTGCCCCAGACATGCGCAATAATTGCTTTTTAATTGACGAATGCACAAGCATTAACGCTAAATCTTGAGCCACATTGGTGAGCGCTCTGGATGGGGTCGGCCGTTTCAAGTACCCGGGGTCATTACGAGTGAACAAACAGACGAATTTAGACACAGAAAGACGGACAGACAGATAAAAATTTTTTAGTCGAAGATCACCAAGAAAGATTATCGTCTTTAAAAACGGAATAAATGAACACCTACCTCTTACCGCTGTTGACGGGCATCTACGGAGGAGGAGGGGGGGGGGACGTTCGTGTTTTCAGCATTATAAGCAATGGCACAATAAGCGCGCGTCCCCACATGGTAATGGCGCAGCTGCGAGTACTTTCATCTCCCATACGAACTTTGGCCCGCGGAGAGGAGGAAGGTCGACGCCCACTCGCAAGCTCTTTTCTCAGGGTGGGGAGGATCGTTCGTGTTGGCTGGCGTTGGGCTTTCACTGGAACAATTATGCTGTAGTTACCGGGCGCACAATGGTCACGGGAATCGTTGTACAGTCTCCGTTTGCGAAAAGGGCATGCTTTTCAGACACAGCGAAATAACAACTGAGACGCGTATTCGCATTCCTCTATACTTAGGAGTACGTTTCGTGCACCATTTGTGCGTGCGAAACGCGAGGCACATCGTTCTGCTTGGCATTCTGCGCGTAACCTTCCAATTTGTTGCTATCGCGTGCATTGCTTCGCCTTTGCGGCAAAGTTATGCCTTTTGGAAGCATGTCCCGTTCAGTGAATAACTAGGTAGTAGATCATTAGTGTTATTTGCGTAACCTTGTTGAGCAATGAATTTAGTTTTAGGGGCGAAGCTCCCTAAAGCGGCACCCGTTCGTCCCTCGTCGTAGTACGTGACGTGTGTTACGCTTTGACCTGCAAGGTGGGAGATTTCTCCTGTGTGTTGTTGAACGCCGAATTCTTCTGTCTCTCGTTCCCCCATAGCAGCCATTGGCATGTACATTGAGCACTATCTGACAAGAAAGGGTTGCTACGTTATACTCGCTGGGCGTAACCTCCTTGGTTTTAGACAGGTTTAGCGAGCGTTGAGCCGCAGTGCCATGAATACAGTGAACCAGTATATACCATGAACACGAGGCGGTTATAGGTGGGAAGTAGACACGAAGCGCAAGCCGCAAGAAAGTGTGCGTGTGCCACCTCTCGTTTAGTCCTTGGAATGTCCGCTAGATAGCGGTGCTCCTATATGCGGAACATATGATCAAAAGATGCGATATGGTGGTAATTGGAGTGTTGACTAGATGGATGGACGTACACACACAGAGATGCATGGACGGACGCATGGATGGACGCATGGACGGGCGCAGGGGTCGATGCACGGACGAACGCAGGGACGAACGCACGAACAGACGCACGCACGAACGGGCGGATGGTTGCAAGGACGGTGACACAGACAGACACACCAACGGATGCTTCGCCCCACTCTACATCGTTCACCCCGTGGATATGCTGCCAATTTTTGAATGTGTTATTGTGAACGCGCTAGGGTTATTAAGTTGTGATGGATGCGCGCACGAAGTACACATGTCCTGCAGGTATCTGAGTGGTGTAAAAAGAAGTGTGACGCAACAAATCGTGTCAGTTCAGGTAGTTCTACTGTTGGGACTTTCTGGAACATGAAATTATTGTACCTGTTGCTAAGGTAGAGCACGTCAGGTAGGTTACCGGAACACCCGTAGTGAACGAACTATTCATTTCGTGTATGTTGGATACTTTGAGGATTAGTAGACGGGCAGAGGTGCCTATCCCGCCATTGTCAATACATGACTTTGTCGGTGTCTACGCACGTGTAGACACCGACAAAGCCGCACCTCTACAGAAAAACGTGACATACTTTGAACTACATGATGAGGATGTGACTATGTGCAGTCATGGCGTTCACCAGAAAGCCAATGTCCTCTTATTTCATATAAACGGGGAATCGGTGTCATGCAGCCGGAATCACGGTTTCCTGGAAGTCATAGTAGACCGAAGCCTGTGTTGCACCCCAGATGTAAACTACGTGAAAAAACGGCTGAACACCATTTGTCACTTGTCTAGGTTGTTTGCCGGAGAAAAAATTGGGGAGTGCCTGTCGTGCCTATGTTACAGCTGTACAAGGTATTATTTATTGAATTCCTGTGGTACAGCCTACCTGTCATACGTAACACGTGCAAAACTAACCTGCGCACACTCCAAAACATTCGAGCCTATGCTCTTAGGATACGTCTTGGTTTACCCCGCTGTGCATCGACGGTTCAAACCATTGCCATTGCTCAGGACAACACGATCATGACGCACATCATCTCTGGAACTATGCGTACGTACCTCAGGAAACATGCTAGAAACCCTTCCCACCACTTGGCGAGCCTCGCTATTGAGAGGCCCCGCGCGAAACTCAGTGCAATTGTCTGTGCGCATCGTGAATCATTTACGTGAAATTTTACGCCTGCTAAGAACTTGCATTTTCCATTGTGTCTGTACCTTCCACAAGTACATCTTACAATTCCAGGAATACAGAAGCAATCAAATTTGCCTTTGTCAGCCCTAAAACAATTGAACTTGCAGCTCTTGTACGAAATGTTCAATAACCACGTGCACTCATGCACAGATGGTTCAACCACAGCGTCTAGCTCTGGCGGTGTGGTGGTAATACCAGCTAGAGGAATCACCCTGCGAATAAAGCGGTCACACACCACTACGTCTACGGCGGCAGAACTTGCGGCTTTGCGAGACACCCCAGTGTACATCACATCCCAGAAACCGAGTAAATGGGCTGTGTTTTTCGACTTGAAACCGGCCTTACAGATCATGCAGTCAGTCCTTCGACGAAATTGCCACAAACACTTAACGTACGAGGCTGTAAAGCTTCTTCACCACGTCACAGGAACAGGCCACGAGGTCAATTTTCAGTGTCTACCTGGTGATTGTGGGATCAGTCGCGATGATTCCGCAGACAAGGCGGTTCATACATTACACCAAGAAGAACACACCTTTCGAAATCCTTTGTCAAGAACAGACGCTGCTAGGCAGCTTTCGTCACATGGTGCGTAGTCTGTGTCTGCTAGAGTGGAACATCCCAATCTTACGAGACTCTACCGAATTAACCCTCGTCTCGAGCTTGGACCTTCATCCAGACTTCGTCGTCGTGAAGCTTGGCTTCTTTGTCAGCTTTGGTGGGGGGTTGCCTTCACTAGAGCATATACAACCCTCATTGAATTGACTGAGAGTGCAGAATACAACGTCTGTGCCACCGAAGAAGACATCGATCATCGGCCATGCAGTTGTCTTTAATTTGTCTCTGAGAGACAAAAGCTTTCTGACGCATTGTGACAATTAGACGATCGGCCACTGTCTGTGCAGATGCTGCTGGAGCACCGTCCTCCTACTTCAACGGCTCAAAAGGCAGTAAAAGCCGTCGTGCGCTTTTTAAGGACCACATGCCCATGTGAACGCCTATCACTTTTGTATAGTGCCACTGCTGCGTTTGCGTCAGTCCATTCAATGACAATTTTTTCTCTTTCTTTCCTCTTATCTTTCTCACTTATATATTCCCTCTTTCCGTTTCCCCAGCGTAGGGTAGCAAACCGGGCATGTACCTGGTTAACCTCCCTGCCTTCTCTCTTGTTGTTGTTGTCCTCCATAACTTGCCCATACGGGAATGCATGAGTAATTCTCACTGCGCTACACTGATGGAGGGGAGACTGAAGAAGAACGAGAGTGAAGAAGAATTAGTATACGGCCTGTAGAAATTTGTGTAGAAGACGACAGGCGCCACTGTGTTGCTACAGAGGATGTTGAATATTGGTTATACAACGAAGAGTGCCAGTGCCATCATTAGTATCAAAGATCAGTGTTGCAATAAAGAAGAGATATATGAGAGGCTTTGTCGTGGGCACAGAAGCTCGTAATTTCTTCAACACGACCTCTTTTACTGACAAACAGTGGTGAAGTCCTGTGAAATACGTATAAATGCCTAATTTATAATATTTCACCACATGTCTGAACCGATAAGCGTAAACCACTTTCATCAGACTTCAATCAGAAGATATAGTCAATATTTTTGCTCTTATTGATGTGTAATGTGAGGTATTGATAACTAATGGGCGCAAAACGTCTCTCTCATTTTTGTGCCACCTGACCTTTCCCATATAGATACTGCACGTAAAATAGACGTAAGCCCTACTCAATCTTGTGAAGCATCGATGTGTACCTGCTATTTCTTTTTACAGGACAACTCGTGCTCTGAGTACTGACGACCTCTTTGACCAACTGGCTTCCACCGTCGTCTCGCTTCCGGCCAAGAAGGCGTCGACTTCTCGAAGGAAGTTCGGCCGCTTTCATGTGAGCGCGCACGCAAATTACAACACCACGTTTAATTTCGTAATAGATGAAAAATTCATGACACTAAAATGTAGAGTATCTTTGAATTTCCGTTGTTTTACACTTGTTTGTCCTCGTACATAAAAAATTTCAACGAGTGTACGTACTGCTTAGATCTTATCACCCAAGAGCAATGAAGTTTGTACGAAAGTGATTTTAACTGACATTGCATAACAATAATCAACTGGATAAGTACAAAGCGTGAGCTGTATTAACGCGATATTGTGCTGAATAGATCGTTGCGTGAAATTCCGGCGTCGGTGGTTGTGAGTGAAAAATCATCCTGTCTTTATGTGACCTATTAATCGAGACGGAAGCAAACAAAATAATTATAAAAATTTCCAGGAGCGAGTGAGAATCGAACCTATGCCATTTGCTTGCAAGCAGGCATTTCACCAGAGCCACAAGTTTGATTGGAACTGCAGTTAGAGTATTTTTCGCTGCTTCGAAATGAGTGAAAATAACTTTCAAGCTGCGCAAGCATAAGTGTTTTACATAAAGGCTCCACAATACAACATGCATGTCGCAGTAACATTGCGTGGCACAAGCGTATTTTGCTATGGGGCGTCAGGACGTCTGAATATAGTTACAACACCATACGTTGAGCAGGCCACCCAACAAAAGGCACACACGTTACTGAGTGTATTTCCTGAAGACCACATAGTAGGTGCATAGCAAGTTCGAAAACATTTCCCACGCAGAATTGCTCGGTGGTTCAAAGCATGCTACCCACTGCAAAGAATGCAGTCATATAAGAAAACTGCGCTGATGCAAGCCACCTTTTCTATTACATGGCATGTAGTAAGCCCCTTTCTCATTTATAAAGCAGTAGCCCACAATTTGAACTTCTTGAGTATCATCAAACGTTAACAAGTATGCAGTGAGTGGTTGACAGGGTATCGCTAGCGTATTAAACTCTTAAAAGTGAAGCTGAAGCGTCCGCCAATTTATCTAACTGCATTGTTTATGTGCTGACAAGGACTGCCACATTTCTCGCCGAGGCAAGTAAACATGTTAAAATAATATATACGTGGCTTGCCTCTCCCCTACTGTAAACTGATCTAGCCACAATGTAATAGGCGCTAGCTTTGACTGACTGATTGATTGATTGATTGATATGTGAGGTTTAACGTCCTAAAACCACCGTATGATTATGAGAAACGCCGTAGTGGAGGGCTCTGGAAATTTCGACCACCTCGGGTTCTTTAACGTGCACCCAAATCTGAGCACACGGCACTACAGAATGTTTGCCTCCATCGGAAACGCAGCCGCCACTGCCGGGATTTGATCCCGTGACCTGCTGGTCAGCAGCTGAGTACCTCAAGCACTAGACCACAGCGGCGGGGAATGTTCTAGCTTTGAGGCAGAGGTCACTTGCCTGAACACTTCAGATTATATTTACGGATTTCTCATCTCAATTGCGAAAACAATCTACGACAAAAAAAAAGAAACACAGTAGTGAAGCCACCGTCCCCGTAAACAAGGCAGAGAAATCGCAAGGCAGCAGTCATTTCATCCATACACCAAGTAGCTAATAGATTTAAAAGAAAATATTGCGAGAAGGTTGGTGTTTCTAATATATAGCACCGCATAAGCCTTGTTTATGAATAATAGGTATGACTGTGATGAAACTACAGCCTCATTTTGATGTGGAGCACCGCTAGTCATTTGGGCAAGAATGTGGAAATGGTGCTTAGGATTTTTGAGCTGTGATGCCTGCGACGTAGGCCATCGTTCAAACGCTTGACAACCAGGCGAATGTTTCAATGACCCCCTGTATAAGCGTGCCAACCAAGCAAAGCTGATTCTTCTCAAAGGGTTCAGGCAACACTTGATATATGCTGTCATGGTACATCAAGAACCTTTACGTTACTCACGCGCTGTATAAGTGCTGCTGCGAAGAGCTGTTTAAATTAACCGGTTGCTAGAAATGCCTGGAGTCAGAGGGACATAGAATTTCATTGCGCTCTCAGTAATCCCATCCCGAATGACGTAGAATAGGCGAATAATTTTTCTTGATTGATATGTGGGGTTTAACGTCTCAAAACCACCATATGATTATGGCAGACGCCGTGATAAAGGGCTCTGAATGTTTAGACCCACTGGGGTTCTTTAACTTGCACCCAAATCTGAGTACGTGGGCCTACATTTTTTCCTCCATCGAAGATGTGAATCATCTCTTTATGGCCATGAAGCAATTTATGTACTGCTTTTAATTGTTACCATTGTATAGGTGGCAATTTTGTCTGCTGATATTTGGTGCTTAATCTAACCGTGTTTTTAGCACTAATATCCAATTTTTCTTCATTTGTCGCTGTTGATAGCGCTTGCGCAACTATGCAGTCATGTCACACAATTGGTCTCCTTACAAGCCAGCAAGTCTGTGCGACCAAACATGTGTAAAGAAATTTTGGATTATATGAATTTCAAAGTTCAAAATCATAAAACAAGAATGCGACGCCTAAGTAAGCCCTTCTTAGCATTATCCCAACAGCTGATCGCGTAACTGCGAGACCACAGCCATAATGCTGATATTGTGGAAATCTTTCAATTTACGTAGTATTGAGCAGTCCTTCTTTTGCTCGCTGTCCTATTTGCTGTTTTTTTCCTGTGCGTGTTTTAATACAACAATAGTCCTGTTGGCAGTAAGCACTCGTATTCGTGGTTTTTGTGTATCTTTTCTGACTTCGTGCTGCCCTGCTTCTACAAAATTTTCCACAATAATTAGGTCTTCAGCATCAGTCATGTGGCACTTATGTGTTAATGACGTGGTCACTTATATGTGATTGTCAACACAAACGCAACTATACATGCTTACGCTCATCAGAGCCAGAGACTCTATGATGGCAGCTATATTACTATGATGACACTGCAGACGTTCTCTCTTGTTTTATTAGTCCAACATACATTTTACTAGCCTGGTGCATTTAATTTGTTGCACGTGTATACTCGCGCGACGCTCGGTCATAAAATAAGCATAGGGTCATAAATAGGCGTAGCCTCATCGTCCGTCTTAGAGCTCGGAAACACCTTATTCGAAAACGCATCACTACATACACTAAGTATGCTCCATCGAAACAGATGCTGCATTCAATATACGGGGCATTCGAGCAGGAATACCAGAGAGAAACCGGCACGCCTTCAATGCCGTCGTTTCGAATAAATACTTGCCAAGCAGCTCATCTCTCCGTTATTTTAAGATGGAGAACGCTTCACTGTATGAATGTGACAGGTTAGTGTGGGTCCATGCACTCAAACGACAAGAGATGCGACGTAAACAACGACAGCACGTTTATACGACATGGACACACATATATAAAAAGGGTCTACAATACCATAAATGATGTTAAAATCCACTGCGGCGCTATGGTCCCTGCAGTTCCTCAGATACAGTACACGGTTCCCGGGAACCTGACACGGCACAGCTATTTAGCACCACACTGCATGTGAGCCACCCACACGTCGCTGTCGACGAGATGGTCCGACGTGTCATTGTGTCACTTTGAGGTTGTGGTGCTGCTATCATGACAGTCGCTGGTACCGCCGCTACGCTGTAGCGTCGCTGGCCAGACGCGTGCTTGCAACCACGCCTGGAACACCGCGGTAGGCCAGTCCCGCAGCTAGGCCTCAGCTTGCCTGGCATGATTGCACCTGGAGTGAACAACTTGCTCGCGGGTCTCGATGGTGACACTTGTTCCGTCGTCGCCCGGCGTCGCTCGTCTTCCAGGTTCGCCTTGGGTCCTCCCGTTAGAGGTTCGGCGCCGAAGCAGACCGGTAGCCATCACAATCCTCGATCTCTTCTGCAGTCCGACTGCCTCGACCCACCTGGAATCTCGAGCGCTCCAATCTGCTTCTTCTTTCCACTCCCTCATGAGCGGCGCCACCCTGTACCACACGCATTTTCGTCCTCTTTTCACCGCTAAATCCCCGTTGCACTGAAAAATGTATTCAACTCGTCACACTCCTACCCGATTTCAGAACGTTGTCCGTGGATACGATCTGCGTAGGCGCGACAGAACCGCCAACAAAAATATTTACATAAGTGACCACCGCATACATGCACACCACAGCTCGTACGTCTGGCACAGCACAAGTATGGTCCGTGGGCTCACGTACGAGTGCACCATGCCACCTCGCCATGAGGCAGCGAACCCTGCCTGCGCGTGGCGGGTTCGTCCTGGTCGTCGCTTGGTTGTGACAAGCACCAGCTTGTCAACGTCAGTAGAAGTCTTTCTTTCGTCGCTTGTACACGTGGGCCTGGTAACGTCATTGGTGACACTGTGAACGTGATTGTTGAAGTGCCGGAGACCGATACGTTGGTACACTCGGTTTGTCCGAGTGATGGAAGTAGAGCGACGGGGACTCTTGTCTGTAGCAAACACAGCTGACCACGTTATGTGGACCTTTGTTGTAGTGCTGCCACCTTCGTTGACGCGGCGGTACCTTCGGCATCGTGTACGGAGGCACTGTCGCCTCATCTCCTCTTCGGGTCGAGGTTCAGCCACATAGCGGTGATTCCTGTCGCACTTTCGGCCATGGCGTGGGTGATAGCCGTCGTGTTTTACATGGGGTTGGCCCCGAGTCGAGTTTCACATGGGGTTTGCGCGCACTCTGTCCGCTTATCACCGTTCACCCAGCTGGACTCCTCTCCGTCGATTCGGGTTCATATGCAGGTGATTGGTTCATTACGGGTACACCGTGTCGTCTACCACGGCGTGCTGTAGATGTCGTGGGCGTCACTTGCTCAACGTCACACCAGCTGCTTGGACAATCAACCTTCCTTTGAGTTGCTATCGAAGTGTCGAGAAGTGCTGCCCCGGAGAGCTTCCCAAAGAGCACACCATACAGGGAATCTCTTTTCCACAAACGGCGAACCTCTCTTCTAAAGAAAGGAGCGTCCAGGAAAACCACAGCTTCCGGTAGGTAGTTTACTGTGTGATGCAGCAATAATAGTAGTCTGT